CCATCTATGACAAACCCATAGACAACATTATGCTGAATGGGGAAAAGTTGAAAGCATTCCCCCTGAGAACTGAAGCAAGACAAGGATGCCCACTTTCACCACTTCTGTTAACCATAGTACCGGAAGTCCTAGAGAGAGAGCAATCAGACAAGAGAAAGAAATAAAGGTCATCCAAATCATTTAAGAGGAAGTCAAGCTGTCACTGTTTGCCAATGATATAATCATATATCCAGAAAACCCCTCATCCAAAAAGCTCCTAGATCTGATAAATGAATTCAGTAAAGTTTCAGGATACAAAAGTTTCAATGTACACAAATCAATAGCACTAGTATACACCAACAGCATCCAAGCTGAGAATCAAATCAAGAATTCAACCCCTTGTATAATAGCTACAAAAAAGTAAAATCCTTAGGAATATTTCCAACCAAGAAGGAAAAAGACATCTACAAAACTCTGCTGAATTAAATCATGGATAACACAAACAAATGGAAACACATCCCATGCTCATGGATGGGTAGAATCAATATTGTGAAAATGACCACACTGCCAAAGCAATCTACAAATTCAATGCAATCCTCATTAAAATACCATCACCATTCCTCGCAGAACTAGAAAAACCAATCCTAAAATTTATATGAAACCAAAAAAGACCCTGCATAGCCAAAGGAAGACTAAGTAAAAAGGAGAAATCTGGAGCCATCATATTATTCAATTTCAAACAAACTACAAGGCTATAGTCATCAAAGCAGCATGATATTGGTATAAAAATAGGCACATGGACCAATGGAACAGAATAGAGAACCCAGAAATAAAGCCAAATACTTATGGCCAACTGATCTTCAACAAAGCAAAAAAAAAAAAAAAAAAACATAAAGTGAGAAAAGGACACCCTATTTAACAAATGGTGCTGGTTAATTGGCAAGCAACATGTAGAAGTATGAAACTGGGTCCTCAGCTCTCATATTATGCAAAAATCAACTCACAGTGAATCAAAGACTTAAATTTAAGACCTGAATCCATAAAAATTCTAGAAGATAACATCAGAAAATCCCTTCTAGACAGTGGCTTAGGCAAAGACTTTATAACCAAGAACCCAAAAGCAAATGCAACAAAAACAAAGATAAATGAATGGTACTTAATTAAACTAAAAATCCTTGTACAGCAAAAGAAATAATTGGCAGAGTAAACAGACAACCCACAAAGCAGAAGAAAATTTTCAAAAATTATTCATCCAACAAAGGACCAATATCAAGAATCTTCAAGGAACTCATACAAATCAGCAAGAAAAAAAAAAAAGATAATAATCCCATCAACAAGTGGGCTAAGGACATGAATAGACAATTCTACAAAGAAGATATACAAATGGCTAACAAACATGAACAAATGCTCAACATCACTAATTATCAGGAAAATGCAACTCAAAAACGGAAATGCAATACCACCTTACTCCTGCAAATATGGCCATAATTAAATAATCAAGAAATAATAGATATTGGGATAGATATGGTGAAAAGGAACACTTTTACATTGCTGGTGGCAATGTAAACTAGTACAACTATTATGGAAGACGGTATGGAGATTCCTTAAAGAACTAAAGAACTAAGTAGATCTACCATTTGATCCAGCAATCCTGCTACTGGGTCTACAGAAAGGAAGAGAAGTCATTATATGAGAAAGACACTTGCATACACGTGGTTATAGCAGCACAATTCACGATTGCAAAAACATGGAACCAACCTAAATGCCCATCAATTAGCAAGTGGATAAGAAAATGTGATATATATGATGTGATATGATATGATATATATATGTATACACATAGTGTGATATATATATGAGTATACACACACACACCCCATGAAATACTACTCATTGTGAAGTAACTTGGGAATGGAAAATCAAACATCTTATGCTCTTACTTATAAGTTGGAGCTAAGCTACAAGGATACAAAGACATGAGAATGATACAATAGACTGTGGGGACTCAGGGAGAATGGTAGGAGGCAGGTGAGGGATAAAAGATTATACATTGGATACAATGTACACTTCTGGGGTGATGAATACACCAAAATCTCAGAAATCACCACCAAAGAACCTATCCATGAAACCAAACACCACCCGTTCTCCAAAAACTATTGAAATTTAAAAAAAAAAAAAATCACAGGCTCATTAACTCAATATTGTTTCTATGTATTTTGCTATCCTTATCAATAAGATATTTTATTATCGAAACTATCTATATCCCCATTGCCATCAGTGTCTATGTAGAGAGGGAAATATGTGTGATTCTTTTTCCCAGGAAGCTCCAAAGGGGCATTTTCAACATATTTCCCTTTTCTTTCTTGCCTGGGTCTTTCCCAGCACTTCGTTAACACTGGGTTACTTTGGGCTCTATAAACAGCTACTTCCACACCTTGTATTTCATGGGGTGGAAGGACAGTGTGTGAAGTTTAAGTGGCATAAATTCATCAACAGTCTCTCATAAGATTCAATGCTGTTTGAAATTCTTCCATGGAGGTCAGAACTTTCTTTTTCTACATAAACATTTTATTTTAGAATAATTCTAGTTTATAGAAATGCAGTAAAGATAGTAGAGTTCCCAACATCCCACACCCAGTTGCCCCCATTGTAAATGTCTTACATAGACACAGTACATTTGTTGCAATGAAGGATCTAAACACAACCAACAAGATCCTTCAAAACATAACCATGACACTGAAAAAGAGTTAACAATAGTTTCTTAGAAAGCTTTGTTTAGCCCAAGGATTTCCTCCATCTTTGACCCTTATCCATCTGCCTTGATCCCCACATTGGCGGGCAATTATCCTTTCTCCAGATGTGAGAACAACACAAGGTAAGCAGTTGCTCACCTATGGCAGAGTGTCTCATGTGAGGACAACACTCGGCCCTGTCTGGACATATTTTTGGTTATCACAACGAGAGAGGTGCTACTGGCATTGAGAGAGTGGAAGCTAGGGTTGCTGCTCAGCATTCTATAGTGCACAGAACAGGCCCCACCACAGACAATGATCTGGCCCTAAATGTTCACAGTTTCAAGACTGGTATACTGGAATAAGCCAAGCTGGGAATACATAGAAACTCCATGCTCTTCACCACTCCAGATCCCCATCACCTCCCTGCCTTCCAACCAATTCCTGGGATCCCATGGCATAGGGCTTGGGGAACTTAGCTGGGAAGGGTGTCTGATCAAGGGGCACCCTCCATGCTGCAGACCACGGCCCACTCAATCAACGAGGGCCAGAATAAATACTGTACTTGCATTCTGAAACTTGACAGTGAGAATGATAGATGCATAAACAGCACTTCAAAGGGATTTTCATGTCCAGAGAATGGATGAGTGCTCCCCTCTTGTGGGAAGTGACGCCAATGGGCCGGGGGCAAAGATGGAGAAAACTATCTTGGGCTAAACAAGTCTCCTTAAGAAACGAAAATCATTTAAAAGAAAGAAACGGTAGTTTCCCAAAACAAAAACAAAAAATGGAGAACATTGCTTTGCAATGCAGCATTGAAGAACAAACTGAAATGAACAAATTAAAATTTCTTGTTCAGATTTTGATTATCCTTATTTGGACTCAGAACAGGTGTTATAGAAGAAATGTCCTCTTCTCACAGGAAGTGGCTTTGAGCTCTCTTCAGTGACAGCTGTGGTTATCTGTGATTTAGAAGATGCCTCTGAGAGGTCCGTGTTCTGGGGTCCCCACACTCAGTCTACCCACTTAGCACTTCTGACAAGGACAAAAGGCTCACAGAGCACAGAAAAGATGGGAAGAATTAACTTGGAGGTGAAAAGAGGAAGACAAACAGCAAGTCCACTGTGGAAGAATAAGGAGGAGCCCCCACAGCCTTCTCCAGCTCTCCTCAGCTTCCATTTAGAGAGTTCCAAACCCCAGCAGCACCCGACATCTCCCCACAGGAAGTTACATTCCCCAAAATTACAGAGCAGAGCTTCTTACTACAAAAATCTTTAACACAGCAATAATACAATTGTGATCTATTGCCTTCTCTACCATGTTAAATGATGGTGGTCTTGTCTACCATTCTATATTTACTATATGGTTTTACAACTTAGAAATTCTTGTAGCTCTGTAAAACTCAGTTATGTGAATGACATCCATAGGCCCCGGGGAATGTGGACCACACCTACACAGCAGCCTTGCCAATTTTATCATCCTACACTTACTGTGCACAGAAAGCCCTTTGCTGATTTATTTTCTGTAATACTTGATATTCTTTGTGGGCACCAACCCCACCAAGAGAGGAAAAAATACAAATGTATTCCAATTGATAAACTCCATTAAGTAAATAGCATCATTGGTTAGCTCTGGATCCAGAGAAAGCTAAGCATGTTAAATTTCCTTCACTTCCTCTGCTCCTCTCCAAAACGGCAGTTGAGTGAATGGCAGCGGGCCTCGGACACAAACACACACACCATTCTTCACTCTCTGTCTCCCCTGCCTCATCCCTGGAGTACCTGGCTGGCAACTAGTGTTCAGGCCTGGGCCTGAGGAACTGTTAGGTCTTTCTCAGCTGGTTCAGGAGATGGGCAACTCTGATGGTGCCCGACCTTCCATTACTATTCTATGCCCAAACCACCCTACCCTTGTTTCAGGTGTCACTTCCCCTCCAACACACACATACTCCCACATTACCCCTTCCATTAAGTTCACCCACCAGTATCATCAGCTATCTGGATAGTTCTCTACAGCATCATGGAAGCTTCTAGAAACAGGGGGCATTCTGGGGAATCAGGCCTGCCTGACCACGCAGTTGCCCATGTTGCTATGAGAAGAATCTCTGTGAGATTTCCCTTTTTTCCAGAAGGCAACCAGGCAGAAAAACACTTTTCTGGAAAAGAATAATATTCTCTTCCTTCCTCTGTTCTCATCCTTCCTAAAATGGCTCTATATTCAGCACTGTGGCCCAGAGAGGATCCCACAGACAGGCTTTCTCACCGCTCCTGCTGCCTCTGTTACCTCCTTCCTGCCACAAGAACGGCTCTCCTCTTTACCTTCCTTCTTGTCCAGGACTTGCCTGGAGAAATATTGGTGATATCCTCCGTCAGTTGGATACAACTGACCTCTGCACCCAGATGGAACCCACCTTCCTTTTCTCTGAAGCTTTTGACTTCATGGTTGATGCTCAAAGGTGAAAGACTAGAAGAAAAAAATAAAAGTATTCTAGAGTAAAACAAAATGCATCTGTTTAGTATTTTCTAAATTGTAATTCCCTTACATCTATTTTCTCAGAAGCAGAATTTTTGAACTCTTTTCAAGAATCTTTACCAGTTTTTAATTCCCTAAGTTGCCAGCACATCTTCAGCGTTCCAACCAGTCCTTTTCATTATCTCATTTAAAAAGCAAACACACCACCAACAACAACAAAAATGTAAACTAGCTTCTCGAAGTGTTGATGTGGACCCAAAAGCAACCCAGCAGTAAGTGACTAGAGGCTGTAGAAAAGCCATGGATGAGGGCCAAGCGTGGTGGCTCATGCCTGTAATCCCAGCACTTTGGGAGGCTGAGGTGGGTGGATCACCTGAGGTCAGGAGTTTGAGACCACACTGGCCAACATGGCAAAACCCTGTCTTACTAACACACACACACACACACACACACACACACACACACACAAAATTAACTGGGCGTGGTGGTGGGCACCTATAATCCCAGCTACTTGGGAGGCTGAGACAGGAGAATTGCTTGAACAGAGGAGCCAGAGGTTGCAATGAGCCGAGATCGCGCCATTGCTCTCTAGCCTAGGTGACAGAGTGAGACTCTGTCAAAAAAGAAAAAGAAAAAGTGAAAGAAAAGCCATGGATGAGGAAGTGAGCACAGGGTTGAAACCAGAGAGGAGTACATAACTCCTAGAACTTGGGGAAAATAAAAGTATGTTTGTAAAATTTGAGGCCACCATTATTAATGAAGTAGACTTGTTTTATATAGTAGTGAACACACATTCATAATTACTTTAATGATCTTCAGTATCACACAGTGAAGACACACCTTACAATTTCAACAGGTGAGCCCTGCCCTATCAAACTTATCACATAAAACCAGTTCTCTCTAGCTTTTTTTTAATGAAACTTTCAATGCTATTTTCTAATTGAATAAAGCTTCAGTGTGACTCAATTTAATTTGAATTTATTTAGGAATTCATCCAGATACTGATGTAATTTTTGGCACAAATAGTCATTTACAAGGTCATAGGTTATGAGCAAAAGGACTAACCTTCCCATTACTTGTCATTTCCAGATAGCATATGTCCTTTTGCATACTGATTAGATCCCACGGAAAAGTCGAAGTTCATTTTTAGAGTATTATTAAAGTCTCTAATAGATGCCAGGTGAAGAAATTTGCATAATAACTATTCTAGGCATTACATTTAAAAAGTCATTTCTAAGCAAGATAAATTTTATTCAGTTACATTGATAAAAATACCCATTACATATGGTTTTTGGTAAGTCTTTTCAATGCTTACATAATGGCTTCATTGTCTTCCGTGTATGGCTTTAATCCACAATCAAAAAGAATAAATCTCTCTGCTTTGGTACCACTGTAGTTTTAAATGAGAAAAAGAAAAAGCTATGAAGATTGTGATAAGATGTGTTTTAAAATATAAGTCTAAAGAAATTTTGGGGAAAACAGGTATAAATAGCAGTGCTACTTTACTGAGAGTATCGGGCCTATTTGTGCTCCTTATTTAAACTTCCCTAAAACTTAATGTAATTGTTAACCAGGTTGTAAAATGTCGCTGAGAAAACCACAGCTTTTTAGGAGCTGGAACCTCTTCAGTAATTTCCTTTTTACTTCAAAATCTATTTTTTTATAACAAAGTAACACTAAGTATGAATATTTTTCTGTAAACTCCCATAGTTCTTTGTTGGTATGTGGATTACTATACTTAACATGAATAGACCACTGCATATTCTGTCCATTCCAACACACACACACACACAAACACACACACACAAACACACCAGCTTATGAACCAGGGCAAAATTATATCTTAATCTTTTCTAATTTTCCACAACTTTTATTCCAGCATTTTGTAAACAATAGGTGCTAAGTAAATGTTTAGCAAGTTAAACTGAAGTTTGTTTTAATAATTTAAAATTTTAGCTTGTATTTTTATAGAGAAACATGGAACTAAAATTTATGTCACATTGCATGGTATACAGTCTAAATTTTATTTTTAATCAGTCCCATTATTATACCTAGGTTCAGCAGAAATGTTGCTGATAAGTCAATATGGTAGATTTCCAGGATTTTAGATTGCCTATTCAAAACCTAAAGCTGTGTTGACAAAAGGTATATCAAAGACACTGATTGCACAGGCTTCTAATCAAATTAGTATCAGATGAGCTTTATTGCCTTCCTGTTTAATATCTTACCACTGAAGGGAGGGTAGAATTTAATTGTGTTATTACATTTCAGAAAGTATGACTGTCCTTCCAGATTCTACCCACTAGGACCATTTCCTTTAATTAAAGAGATAAGTATCTGCCTTTTTTATTTTTTTCATTTTTGGTATCACGAGTAACTCAAAATTAAGGACCTGGAAGAGCACTGCATACATACATGTGAGATAAAGATAAATAATGAAGCAGAGTAACTAGAAGAGAAAGGAAAGAAAACAGAAAAAAAGAAAGGAAGGAAAGGACAAAATAGAAAAAAAAATAGAGGAAACTTAAATGAAAATTTAAAAACACAAAACAAAACAAGAAAAAAGTTGGATTTTTTTTTTTTTTTTAATTTAAAGATGCTGCCTAAGTAGGGCCAGCACTGTCTCCTCTTAACTTGGCCATGCTAAAGAACTTGTCTCACTGCCTTGCCCTTGTAGTTCTCATAGAAGGCTATCAATGCTTCTCAATATTAAAGATGTATATAAGTCACCTGGGGACCTTGTTAAAATGCAGATTCTGATCCAGTATCCCAAGTGGGGAAACTGAGAGTCTGTATTTCTCAGGAACTCCCAAGTGATGCTGCTGTCTAGAGACCACACTGATCAGTAAGGTGTTAGTCAGCACACTAAGCCAGGAGCTGGTTTTCCTGTCTTGAAATACATAATGAGGTTTCCCAACCTTGGCACAATTGACATATTGGATTGGATTCTTCTTTGTTGTGGCTGCTGCCCTGTGCATTGTAGGATGTTTAGTAGCATATCTGTCTCTTACCCACTAGATGCCAGTAGAAAACTCCCCCAATTATGACAATGAAAAATGTCTCCAGATACTGCTAAATTCCTCCTGGGAGACAAAACTCACCCTGCTGAGAACTACAGAAATAGAATATATGTTGAGGATATTTTAGGGGAAAAGGCTGTTAGATAAAAATGCATGCATCTTTGTAAAAGCAGCCCTATGTCTTACAGCTTCTGACATCAGTTCTGTGCCAACCCTGACCCTTACCCAACCTTGGCCTGCCTTTAGAAATCACTGTGGGAAAACAGCAGTGGAAGCAAGCCCTGATGCCAACACCTCAGAGGAAAGCATTACAACTGGGCTACCGCAGCCTGGTCTCCCTCCAGCAAAGTCTGACATCCAAGAACCACCTCCTCCATTTGCTGCAGAGCTGGCAAGATCTGAGAATATTCCTTGCATCTAGAAAGAATAAAATTCTTTGCATCTATTCTTAGCCTTTGGGTACATGTTAAACCAGTAGAAATTTTGACTATTTTTAGCAATGTTAAATCAGACACACCAAAAAGTGTAGTTTTAATATCACCTACATGATGTACCTCAGAGATTCATTCCTTCCTTACATTTAAGAAAGCAAATAGCAAATATTTTTCAGAATATTTCAAAAATACAGGAGATAGCATAACTTTTAGGGTAAATTTTAGTTTCTTCTTCTTGTCAAAAAGGCCAGTGAGGATACAACTTCTTTAGGCATCAAATTCCCAGTCTCTGAAGTTCAGAGAGCAGTTCTGAAATTTGAGTTGAATCAACTTCAATACTTTCTCCTCAAACCTCATCTTCTACACTGTAACTCTTCCAAGCTCACAGTTTTGGAGACCTCTTGACTTGCTCCTCTGAGTTCAAAGGATTTGGGGCCTAAGATAGGGAACACATGTGTTCTGATTAGGCGCTGCCTGGGGCAACATGTCCCCTTTGGCTTAATCATCCTGTGTAATCATTTCTAGGGGAGGCTCCTTGTTTGACTTCACCTCTCTTGACCTATGAAATTCATCAGTGGTCTTCAGACTTTTTAATAAGTGATTTTTTTTCAAACCAAATATTCTGGAGACCACAAAAAAAGATATAAAAGTTGTGAAGGGGCAGTTAAATAATCTATTTCATTACTTCAGTATTTTCTTTTTTCTTTTTCTTCTCTACTCAACTCTCAAGTTACTTAAATTCTGTTTCAACGTGTTTTTCTTTATTTGTTATATTGCTCAACTATATTTAATAAATTCAAGTGACTAATAGGCTCTTTTAAATTCCATACGGTATGGAAAACAGAAGAATAAGAGTGTCTCTGACCTCAAGGAATTTCACTATTTAGTTACGGTGAGACTAATACAAGTAAAATAACTAGTGAACAGTGCAAACAATTCTAAGACTCTCTGGCTCTCAAATTGTGCCCAGCATGTAGAAAGCTCCCCACTAATATTTGTGGAATGAGTGGATAAACTACTCACTTTCTACATACAAGTTGGCCCTGTGAGAAGTTAGATTCGCCATAGAAGACCTTGTGGTAAGAACTGCAGAACTTTCAGCATGTAATGACTTCACCCAAACCCCTGTACTAAAGAGAAGTGTCCCAAACTCTAGCCCGGCTTCTAGCAGCATAAGACCATGTCTGTAGGATGGCTCCAGCCCTGTATTAACATGCCTGCCTGAGAAAGACCAGAGCTGCCGGGACAATTTTCTGTTTGTCCTAAAGATAGGTCCCAGACCTCTGTTGGGGCTCAAAAACCAACACCCCAGAGTACAACGCTTTGACATGCTGAACCAAGAAACCAGCCTCAATGTCTCTCTGACCTTCCCTTGTTACTGTTTCTCAATCCTGTCTCTCCTAAAGCACAGGATGAAGTTGTTCTCTGAAGTTCCCATATCTGCCTAAATGCCAGACCCACCAGAGAAGAAAACAATTTTCTCTTACCTCTAGTTCTTTCCCTAACTTTTTATTAACTGAACTCACATTGCAGAAAG